ATTCAAATTTATTTTCAAAAAGTTTTTAAAGTGTTTAATATTTTAATAAGTATACCCATAAGAATAATCTTACTATTTTAATTTCAAAAATTTTGGCAAGTTTGTTGATAAGATGAATTCGGTTAGACAAAAGATTAATTAGTTAAAATATTATATTAATTATATTTTAAAAATTCCAATTAGACAATTGTAATTGTATTAATTAATTTATTAGGAATGTGATTATATGGAAGTTAATATAAAATAAAATATAACCAAAAAATATGTTCGTGGTATTTTCCTTTAAATGTTTGAATTTAAAAATCTAATAACCAAATTTAAATTATATTATGTAAGTAGAAAATCAATAATAAACATTTATTGAAGAGATAAATCAATAATATTTATCACTTAGATTATAAATAATAAATATTTACATATAAAAAAATAAATAATAATATATTTAAAAATATAACTCAGAATTCAGATAAAGTAAAAGGAGGGATAACTTATTTTTTTACAAAAAGTTTCTAAATGTTTAATATATTGATAAGTATCTCCATAATAATAATCATATCATTTTAATTTTAAAAAAATTGACAAATTTGTTAGAGAGATAAATCCAGTTAGATAAATGATTAATTAGTTAAGATATTATATTAATTGTATCATAAAAAAATTGGTTAGATAATGTAGATAAAAAAAATATAATATTAATTAGTTTGTTAGGAATGTGATTATATGAAAATCAAGATAAAATAAAATTTACCAAAATAAATTTGTTTAGGATCTTTTTCTTTAAATGTTTGAATTTAAAAATTTAATACTGAATTTCAATTATATCATATAAGAAAAAAATAAATAATAAATGTTTATTAATATATTAAAATATGTAACTTTGAATTTCATAGTAAAAGGTATGATAATTCAAATTTATTTATAAAATAAAAGCTATGATAAACATTAAAAAAAAAAAAAAAAATCGAATGATTGGCAAAAAAAGGAAGTAAAATCGGACTTGATTGGTTAACAATATTTGCACTAATTTTGGTTGGAAAATGAACTAAAAACGGATTTGATTGGTCATTACCTATTTGGTTGATTTGAACTAATTTTGGTTAACAAAAAAAAGGAAGTGAAATCTATTACTATAATAAAAATCGGATTTGGCAAAAAAAGAAGGAAGTGGAATTTCGAAGGTTATTGGTTAACATTGACTTTATCCGATATTTGCCAAATCGCATCCAAAATAACGAAAACGTTAGCCAAATATTTCAAACAAAAATTGAGGGAGAAAATAGAAATTTGAGCGGGAAAATGACAATTAATTTTCGATTTTTTTCCTGATTTTTTTTTAACTGTATTATATAGTAATAGATAAAAGTTTTACATGATTCAATCTCTACTGACTTAATTTATATAATTCTAGATTTATTAGGTATTTAGCATAACATCTCCTCGATTTTCTTTTACTTAATAAAAATTACAAACTTACTATTCTTACATACGTATACTATCTTGTGTAATCACTTTCAAAACAATGGTACACAACTTTTTAAGCAAAGCTACATTCCAGATTGAATAATATAAAAAATAAATATATAAGGAAAGAAGCATGTTTTAGATAGATGGATGGATGAGTACATCATACTAAATTATTAATACTAATAATTGGGCTAGCTAAAGAATTATTTACAGGAAATGATTGCAATAGATCACAATAACAAAAAATCAAGCCTTACAATGAAATTTTCCCACGTACAATTTATAAAACTAAGAGTGCAAAAGATCCATATGTCATAATCTTTGAAAGTATAGTATATAAAATTTTTGACACTATCTTTTGTCCCTTCAAATCCATAAATTTACGCAACCTTTAGCTCCTCATATTTTATGGCTCCAAAGGAACGAACCAAACCATATAATATATGTATGTATGTCGACCACATTAGCGTTTATCATAATTGAGGGCCTGCAATTTGTCAAGAGTAGTAAAAATGTACGTGCTTGAATTTGATCCTAAAATAAGGTGAAGGTGTAATCATTTTGTTATATATTAACAGAGATCTCATTTTAACCACATTGATGAACAACAATTTATATATATATATATATAATTATTGGCTAATAGCATTTAAGAAAACATTTAATAAAACGTACATGTTTTTCCAGCCTAAAATTTCAGCCTTTATCCAATCTTTATTGCTGGACCGTTACATTTCCCTTTAACTTTTTATCTTTCCTTAATACTTTGATTTTTGGTAATCATTAGTAATTAATTATCCCAATAATAAATAACTTACTGAATTTTTTTTAACAAATAATATTTCTTTGATATTCCACCAAATTAATAATATATATACAACAATAAGTTAGACTATTGTTTGCGAGCATATCATTAATCACTTGCAGATATGTTACAACAAATAGATATTTGTTAGAACTATAACACATATTTGATTAAAAAATTCGACTATACTTCAATATGCGAACATAACTTTGGATATAAATGTTAATCTTTGTAAAACGTATAAAAAATCGCAAATACAATTTTATTTAGCCATCGGGTTGTTAAAACTGAGCATAAATGTTAAGAAAAGAAAAATATATTGTTCATTAACATAGATCTACGATTAAAAAAAATGTAAAAGTGCTTCAAATGTTAACAGATCTATTCAATATTTGCACTATTCCTTACAAATTCATAATAACATACTTTGAAATCTTTATATACCTCATTGGGACTTATGAACGAGTTCGAGGTCCTTCAAAGAAAGATGGGACTCTCTTTAGCTAATGAAATTTGAAAATAAAAGGAAAAATCCTTAATCCTATTAATAAATTTGAAAATAAAAGGAAAAACATCCTTAATCCTATTAATATAATAACAAATATGGTAACATTCTACAAAATACTATAAAAATTAAAATGAAAACAACTGAAATCGGCGTATATCAAGGAAATTACTGAAAATCTGTAAAAGCTAATACATTAACGCAGAAAACACCTTAAATCTTTGAAAAAACAAATATAAATTATTTTTTGCAAACAAATTAAATTGAAAATTCGAAAATACTTTAGATCTTCGTAGATCTAATCTGTTATCGCCCTATTTGAACTGAAATACTCTAACTCAATAAATTGAATTTGTAAAATCGGGTCGATTTTACTTTTTTTATCTCTCTTTCACCTCAAAATAAAATCAAGTGTTTTTTCAATATCTGTTTGAAAAACGTTAAAGAATCGCAGTGAAACATATTCTTCAGCTAGATTGTCGGCAAAATTTTTTTAGTGGTGGCTGAAGAATAGGGTTTGAAACGAATAGAATATAGAAGAGAGAGAGAGACAGAGAAGCCCCGACATGAGGCGATAAAAATGGCGGTTCATTAGCCATTTTATGGTTTGCTTTCAATTTATATGAATATATGAGTCTTACACGTGTGCGGGGCATGTGGCATTTTATACACATGCATGAACGACTCCATTTTAAAAAACACTCCACCAAAATGTTCGCAACATAAGTTTTGAATGGATATAAAATTGGACTGCTTTTTTTTTGTTTTGTAAATGGGCTCGATGTTTAAGTACAAGCTCAAATTCTGAATGCAAAATTTTGGAATGCACTCTACCACTATGTATATACATATTATCGATTAAGTTTCTAATAATGGCCCAACAGTCATTCTTTTTAATTTTTGGGCTGAGTATTTTTTAAATAGCTGACCCAAAAAATTAATGCGACATAAAGTACAAAAAAACTATATTTAAAAATAAAAACTTTTATCTATTTATAGTAATACAAATTTAATCATTTAAACAAGTATAACATTAGACGTATGAGTTTAATACATAATATAGTGATTGTTATATTACAAACTTTCATGTTTTAATATTTGCTCAATATTATTGTATGACAACTTTTTAAATACAAAGTTTGACATTATCAAAATTATACATGTTATATCTGAAATTTTTAAAAATAAATTGCAGGGTATAATTTAACTATATCAATTTAATTATTGTATGTGCGTTATCTGATTTGTCTATGGTAACTTCTTGGTTCCAAAGACCAACAATCCTTAATAGTTCGTATTCGAACAATTTTTGTACAAAATCGAATGATATTTTTTTTTTTTATTCGAATTTTGTGGTCAAAAGGTACATGATTGGTTATTTACTAAACTCATTAGTCATGTTCTCGAATGTAGAATTTTGACCGTGACAGAGCTAGTGATAAGATTCTTATTCCTATGATCACAATCATACCATCCGATTTGAGGTTATCTTTCAAGTTTCAGTACAGACAGTTCCCGCTTATGGTTTTCTATGCTATGACAATCAATAAGAGTCGAGGGCAATCTCTGTTGCCCTTCGGTCTACTACTGAAGAGTCCTGTATTTAGTTATGGACAATTTTACGTGGCGCTTTCTAAAGTTACGAGTCGGAGGATTTTAAGATAATGATTTGTAGTGATGGAGTTTCTGATGATACGAAAACTACGAACGTTGTATATAAATAAGTGTATAATAATATTTAATTTTCCTTCTTAAATTTTCCCCAATGATTATGTTATAATTTTTACTATTGTTTATAATTTTTATTATATTTTTTTCTATCATATAAATTTCCGTGCAAATGTACAGGTTCAAACTAGCTCTATACAATTTACCTTATTGTTTGTGTTGATTATTTGGTATTCCAATAATTAATAAAGCATTTGTTATAACTTTTAATTCAAATATGTGTCATCCTCACATTCTATGGGATGTTCAATTCAATCCAAAGTGGTAGATAAGGTTTAGTATAATTTGACACCAAAATGTGATTTCCTCAAACGGCCTAACCCCCCATATCCCGTTATCAGCTACGCCCAACTATTCAAATATTCCTCAATTATAGAGCCCCACGTTTAGGTGTACAGTGACACACAATATATATATACATACACGTAAATATATGTACGTGTATGTCTTTCTATATATATTGCGTAGAAAAACCTCATTTTTTATTTAATACTAATAAACATTCGAAATAAATATCCCACAAACCCCAAGTATGATTCTACCGCTTTCATTTCTCTCTCTCTCTCACTTGCACTCTCCAATCTCTTACTGAAATTTCTCTATTTTTTTTTTTTCGAATTTTTCTTCTCAGAATCGAGGACATGCAGCCTGTTAGCAGAGAAATCGGCGGCATTAACGGCGCCGGCTCGCTCCTCAACCAGCACCAAATCTCGCCGCTCGCTGACTTCGTACCCGGGGTGCTGCCGGCGGATCCAGAATTCGATCCGGCGGCCGCCACCGCACACGGCGATTTCCTCGAACAGATGCTCTCCTCCGCCGCCGGGGCCTTCCCCTGGGAGAGCGAACACGCGCCGCCGCTTCTGGAGGAACAGACGCCCGCGGCGGCGCTGGCGTCCAAGCTGCGGCAGCACCAGATCAGCGGCGGCGCGGCCAGGGCCTTGATCCTCCAGCAGCAGCTGCTTAGCCTCGCCGGCGGAGGCCGCGGTATCCACTGTAACGGCGGAGACGACGGAGCGCTGTTCTCTATGCCCAACGGCGACCAAAGCGACGTCGTTGATGGTAACTCCTTCAAATCCATTAACACGGTCAGTTTCCTTTTCTTTTTCTTTTTTCTGTTTCTTTTCCGTTTTTTAAATTTAATCGTATTAAATTACTGGGTAATTAGTTTCAGGCAAATGATGCATCCATTAAAGCTCTCTTCAATGGCTTCACCGGATCCATCTGTCAGACTGCAAATCAGCCTCAGCAGTTTCACCCTCCTCAGGTTACTTCCAGTTATTTTATTTTATTTTTTATATTTACTTCCACTTGAATTATAGATTCCGTTAGTGTTTTTTAATTTTTTTTTATCAATTTAATTCAACGTGGAGGATGACATTTACAGTCCCAGAGCTTTGGTGCCGCCGGGGCTGTGGCGGCGCCGGCCATGAACCAACCAGCTTTGAGCGGCGGAGGAACAGCTTCCGCCGGAGGACAGCCGCGGCAGCGGGTGAGGGCTAGAAGAGGACAAGCAACTGACCCTCACAGCATAGCTGAAAGGGTAATCATCTTGTACTATACAGTACAAATTCAGTTTCAATTTTTTTCTTTTTTTATTGTTTTTTATTTTTCTTTTGGAATTTGAAATTAAATTCAGTGTAGCTTTTGTCATCTTTTTGATTTGTTGCTTTCTGATTGTCCTGAGAATATGTCGTTTTTTTGAGTTTTGTTTTGTTTTGTGGTTGGAAATGTGGGCAGTTACGGAGAGAGAGGATTGCGGAGAGAATGAAGGCGCTGCAGGAGCTCGTACCTAATGCCAATAAGGTCTTTCAACTCTCCATTATAATTAATTATTAGTTAATTATTTAAAAGTTATAACTTATAATTCTAATTAAGATTTTGAATTAACTGCTCATATTTAACTCAGAAATGGTTTGACTCAGCAAATGACCCTTATAAATTCATCCATGAATTAGTATATTGATGAGCAAGTGTACACCATATGACACGCATTATTGGTGAATAATTCTGGATGTCTATGTAGAAATATTGAATTTAACTTTACTATTTCATTATTACACACACAAAAAAAAAGAGTTTTTGTACCTCTCCAATTTTGTGCGACTTTGTGAGATGTTTATTCACCATTTTTTTACTAAAACTTCTTAATTTGACAATAGAAAATGACATTTATGATAAATCATGAAAATAAATGTTTCAAAGTGGTGAAAATGAAATGGCTACTCTATCTTTCTCGAAAAACATCAAATAGAAAATATAAATCCAGAGACTTGGAACTTACTTATCAATTGGCAACGAATTCATGGTGATCTTTTCAATGAATCTGGGAACAGTTAAAAGGGATTCATGTTAAGTTAGTTCTTTCCATAACTTGAATTATTTGGATTATCAAATTAGAGTGTCACGTGCTATTAGGGAGGCATTATGTATACAGATCAAAGGATCTCACATGTGTGGGTGTGTCCATTTTGGTGATTGAGAGAATGTATTAGGTGATGGAAGCATAGCTGGAAAAGATATAATAGAAGAGAATCATAGTCAGCAGATGATCAGGCATAATGAGTTAGAACTTACCAATGACTAAATTTATTATTTATTATTAATAAAATGTTTGGTAAGAATTGTGTTTGGTAGCTAGTTCCCCTTTTCTTACTTTTGTCTCTTTTGGCTTTCATTTATTCTGTTTTTTTTCATGAACAATTTGAAAAAACACTTTCCTAAAAGTTCATTAGAGCAATAGCTAGTTGTTGACTTTTGAAATTCATCCATTGTGCTTTTATCAGCTTGATGTTTGTTAAAATTAGTTGCACCAAACACTATATATAATGCAATTCCAAAAGTGCTCCTAAACTTGTACAAAGTAGTTATGAATAATGAATGAGAGTTAAAAAAGTATTATTTATTAACTAGTAATCGACCGTGTGCACATGTATAGATTCAAACAAAATTTTGAGTTAAATGTATGTATATAACATTTAAAATCATAAGTTAGGTAATGAACATATCACATTTTATAAATTTTATTATTAGTAAAATTAACAATATAGATATAAATTATTTTACATTACGCTCGTCTTTGGGAAGAACTTTCTTTGCCACTTAAGAGTTCTTCTCTTTCCTGGCGTGGAAGCCCCCTGACGTTGTGCAACAACTCCTTTGATTTACTATATTAATTGTAATATTGTAATTTCGAGTTATTGTGACCAATCAATTACATGAAAAAAAAATATTGAAACTATTATTATTATATCAATTGTGTGCTAAGTTTTAGGGGATTGGTTTATGTCATAAAAAATAATTAAGTAATTTTAATAAAAAAATATTTAATGAGATGAATAAATATTAATAATAATTTTAAATAAATAGTTTGATTTTTTTTGTAATTATATTGAAAGAAAAAAGAGATTTGTAATAAATAGTTTGACTTTGTGATTTGTATGTAACAATTATTATGTAATAAAATAAATAAAAAATATAATTACTTGAATATTGAAAAAATGTAATGTTTTTCTTTCCAAAATTAGCTGAAAAAATGAGCTAGAAAATTGTTATTGCATTAAATTCTTTGCCTACAATTATCTATAGATATAGATTAGAGCTAGTAATCTCATTGAGATATGTAACCAATATTTTCTTAATGAAATGACAGACTGACAAAGCCTCAATGCTGGATGAGATAATCGACTATGTGAAATTCCTCCAACTCCAAGTCAAAGTACTCTCTCTCTCTCTCTTTCTCTCTCTGGTTGGTTTTGTACTGTTATGTTAAATTAGTACCGTCAATAAAGTATTGACAAATGATTCTTTTTATGTGATCACAACTTAATATGGGCTAATCAATATTTAACTACTTGGTGGAGTTGGGTTATTGCAAAGTTATTTAAATAATAGTTTTATTAGTTCCATAATGAAATAATGATCATTATTTTATGTTCTTATGAACAGGTTTTGAGCATGAGCAGATTAGGAGGTGCAGCAGCTGTTGCCCCCTTGGGTGGTGATATGACCTCTGAGGTAAATATCATAATTACAGTTGCCTATTAAAATTGACATTCTTAGTCATAGAGTGGTGTATGCTGTGAAAGATAAATATCAATACTTGCTAAAAATAATATTGTTTGATCATTTGATTGGAATTTACTATGATTGGGGGTAATTTTATAGGGAGCTTTTTTCAGATAGTATAATGCACAGTCTAGCTGTTGCATGTTCTAGGAAAGCATGTGTAGGATTGCACTTGGTCAAAATTAGTATGAATTTGGCATTCTTTTGGTGTGTCAAAAGACTTATGTAAGAAATACTGAACACCAAAACATTAGCAGCCCCACAATTTGCTGCCTATCACTCTCAAAATTCCCCATCATCACAAAACAACAAAACCATAAAGTACCACGCGTGCCCCTTTTTTTCCCCAGATTCCACAAGCCCACCCTCCTAGAAAATCACTCTCATGTGGAACTCTTCTAACTTCTGGTTGGTACGATTGTTCAAATTGCCGTGCATTGCCAGGCGAATTAAAATTGAATCAATTAAAAAAAATAAATTTACAAAATGTATTAGTGTAAGATTAGAGAATCAGGGCAAGAGAGTGTAGTCTCACGCAGATGAAGCGCACCATAAGAGGGTGGACCTAAAAGCTAGGCCTAATTTTACTATGAAATTAATGGGAACAACTCACAAATGATACTCCAACAATTAGTCTATAATTTAGAATTATGTGTGAGAATAAATGAAAATTAAGTATGGGTTGAGAAGTTTTTAAGTGGTTTTTATATGATGCATAGGAACATAATGGAGAGCAAGTTTTAATTTCAATATCGTAATTTGGATACATTATATTATTCTTTTTTATATCTCTGAGGAATAATCCATTAGGTAGGTGTAACGTGGTTTGGTCCGTTTGGATGAGAAAAATTCAGATGTGACGTAGAAATGAATGGTAGAGATGATTTTATTTTTTTTTCAAATAAAAATATTGTGACTGCTAAATTTTGTTTCGCTTTCGTTCTTGTCTGCTAGCTCACAACTATCGTTCAGCTAGTCCACTTATAACTAAATTTCAATTAAGAAATATACTATGATGGAAGCTGGACCTGCACTCAAAATATTTTAGGAGCTGGACTTTATTGCTGCTATGATAGTCTCTAATAAAAATTAATTCGAGCATCAAAAATTTTTGTCACGTTATCTCTCATTCCTCGTTTTATATATTTATTACTGTAATTTTTTTTTCCTAACTTTTGACATGGAAAATGTCTTTTCCTCTAAACAAAATTACCCATATTTTCCTTATAAGAAATTAATTACCAAATGATATATTATTATATACTTGTGTGTGACATGATGCGAAATTGTTTTCGTACATTCGATAGGGAAAGAGCGGCAACGGAACACAAACTGCATCATCATCGAACAACAACAAAAACGAGGGGATGACCGTGACAGAACAACAGGTGGTGAAGCTGATGGAGGAAGATATGGGGTCCGCCATGCAGTATCTGCAAGGCAAGGGCTTATGCCTCATGCCTATTTCACTCGCCACAGCTATTTCCACCACCACAAATCCCAACTCTAGAAAACCCCCTCTTCTTAATAACAACAACATACTGAATGCTGGGGGACGAAGCCCGACTTCTACTAGCATCTCGGTTTTGACCGGTCAATCTACAGCTAGGGAAAACTCCTTGAAAGATCCTATGTCGGCTTCCAAGTCCTGAACTTCTTGCTCAACGGCAATTTCGATGCCATTGAGTGCGGGAAAAGCTTCACATTGATAAGGGCAAAATGGGAAAAGGAGTAGTGAAATAAACATTTAAGGAAAAACTAAAAGAAGAAAAGAAAATAGAATGAGGTATGGCTGCATTTCATTACACACATTTCTCCCACACTCCTTTTGTTTTATGGTATCAGCGGCCGGCCATCAATCAAGTCTACCAAAATAAGGGTCTCTTTAATTTTGCTCTAGGAGTAAAGTGGTGTTTTTATTTTATTGATTATTTCAAGTATGTACAATACGGCGCCGTATTTGGGTAGACTTGTTTTCTTAACTTAAGTGCGCTTGATACTCTTTTTTTTTTGTTTTTAGCTAACAACCAGTGCAAGACCCGACTGGTTCGTGCTTTGTTCTTTTCTCGACTATTGTTATTTGCAAATGCGTCGGGGGCCGACGTTTCAATATTTTAAATTGAAGGCCATACAAAAAATAATTGTTGTTGGGTTGGTTGATAGAGTTTACAAGAACTCTAGCGCTCATATTCCATGTATATAATTAATTAATCATCACTAATTGTCGATGTAACTTTTAAATTGAATAGGAAGAAAAAAAGGAATGAAATTAGATTTACAGCGCCCTTTGTTTGATTGGCTGCGTATGGACTAACAACTTCGTCATTTTGTCCTTTTCCAGTCCCCTTTATATTGTGGTTTCCTAATGCTCTCAATTAGTCACATACTCACATTCATTCATTCTTTTGTTATAAATTTTGAAGAGATAACTAAAAAAACATTTTTT